CGTTTGCAAAGTCACTTGCTCATGTAGAGATAGTCGTATTGTAGAGACAGAGAGCATGCGCTTTTAAAATGCATTTCACAACGTTCTTACGAGTGAAGCCTCGTCTATATTCTAGGGCATATAAAAAGAAAGAGTAACCTGAGATACGCTTTTTCCTCGAGGATTCGGAAGATATGCAGTGAGGAGGTGATTGATGAAGAACTGAGTAATCTCGAAGAACCCTGAGGGAAAACGGTTTTCCGCCTAGGTTCATAGACAAGAACCTCAAATCAAAGAAAACTTCCTAACAAGTTCCATCCGTCCCGAAGAAGATATTTCTGCTTAATCTAGAATTCAAAGGAGACATTGAAGCAGAAATCCTTCGTAAACGCCTCTGCAAGTCTCTGAGGAAGACATACTTCGCGGCGAGCCTACGACTAACGTTTTCCTGCAAGACAAGCTGTCGCATTGGTCCACTTCAACGCGCATATACCAGTTTAATTGCTCTTACAGAGGTGAGTACATCGGCCGTATCATGCGCCAACTTAAAAAACGCGCTTGTGAACACTATCCAGCCTGGCTAGTAAAAGGAGAACGTGAAAGAACTTCTGGTCACTTCAGGACATTCAGCGCCATTCGAAAAATCCTTCAAAATAATATACAAGATTCGACAAACTTATCAAAGGGAGTAATATTAAGACATCTGGACATAGTCGAGGCACTAGCCATCCGAAAGCTGAAACCCACGCTGTGTATCCAAAAGAAATACGTTCAACCCTTTTCCCTGCCGTGGCCATCATAAACAGGTAATTCTTCTAATAGTGACTGATCTATTGACTTTTATATCCTAACCTCCTGTCTCTTTTGTTATTTTATTATTTCTACATATTTAATCTCTGACTGCATAAACAATTATTCGTCACATTAGCTATGATCCCACTAGATTTTTTATCCAAGCATCCTCTCTGTTGTTGTTATTTCTACATTTCTAACCCCTAATTGAACAATTTGTCTATCGTCTTAGTAATTATGATGCTACTTTATTTGAGCTTTATTCGTCCCCCTCTTTATTGTGGCATTTTAATTTCTAATTGTAATTTTGTTAATCTGCTGACCCTTGACTAGAAATTATTCTGCAACTTTCCTACCCACTTATTATAAATACACGAATGTACAGCCTAGTTGATGACTTCGTCGAAAAGAAAATTTTCGTCGCTTCAACTATCCTTTTATTCCCTATGATCAAATGTGTATATTCCGTGATTTGGATAAAGTTCATTTCTAACCTTGAACTGTCTGCGGTAAGCGTTGGTGTGTGTCTCAAGGAAGCTTTTCCAGCTATACAGTAGGATGTAGTGAAAGGGTTTTCTGAACCCAGACTGTGATGTACTGGTTTTGCACACAACAAGCTCAAAACCGAACTCTGCATGCATGGAAGGTGTTTTTTTGCTGAGTTTTATTCTGCGATGGTTTTAAATTCCCCTCCTGTTTGCTTCCGTTTTTAGTCGGTAATCCAATATTATCATTCTAATACATTGTTTTTATACTTCTCATCACTTGTATTCCTCTCACTTTCTTCATTCTCATAAAATGGACACTCAACCAGCTTGGCTTTCAAAAAATCCCAATTCTTACTTCCACAATATTGTTGATTATTGAGTAATGCATTTTCTTATCTTTAGAAATCACTTCTGAATACCATTCAGAAATCATCTAAGCCATCTCACAGTGTCAGTATCATTCTCATTCGTTAAATCAATTAATTATGTCACACCCTTCTATTACTTATTAAGAAACTGCTATACGTCTTAGTAAGAACATTGTATCATTGTGCAGCCTTTGGAAATCACTTCAGCGAGAACGAAAAGTTTCTTCCCTGAGTTGTCTTCGAATCCAATGAATTTCATTACTCGTCATCATTTGCCGCAGAACACCAACTTTGAATCAAATACATCGCTGAAATATTCGTTCTTAAAACCGATATGTTGATAGGGAAACCAACTATTTCGGTCCTATAAAAATAAGCAATGCGAAATACTGCCATTCCAATAAAGCTGGCGAAAAACGGCATTTATGTAAGCAATCTTCAGCTGAATACTAGATACATATGTATGTTGGAAACACCAGAAGATATTTAAAGTCACTCATTTAGATCTACAAGTTACCTGAAACACTTAAAAGTTAGAACGACACATTTAAGCGAACAATATTCGTTTTCAATTAGATCTCATCAGGCTTAACTCTAATATATATAAGTTTACAAATAAAAATTCAAATATAAACCAATCATAGTGTTTTGCCTATAGGATAATGAGATGGTGAATATAAATTGTGCAATTAGTCATAATAGTAATAGTAATAATAATAATAGTGGTTTTATCAATAATAAGGATGAAAAAGGGAGGGAATCTGTGATAACACGAATAATCAAAAACATCATGATTAAACAAGCAAATGTTCAGGTGGAAGTAGTTTGTCATTCTCTAGCCGACGAATGATTGGGACACAGACGAAGGATAAGCTTGATAGTTTTTCCACATCTATGTGCATTTATCAATTCAGCTGCACCTGCGGTGACAGTTATGTTGGGCGTACTACTTACTAGACAGCTTAGCCAACGTGACACTACTGAAGATCTCCCATCGTGGTTTTTTTGGCAGAGGACATACAAAAACAATCCGTAGCTCAATTTTGTCACATTTAATTGATAGTGGTCATGTAGTCGAGAAAACGAAAGCCTTCAAAGTAATTCATCGTATCCCACCGAATCTTTCCAATAGACTTCGTATTCGTCTACTGCACACAGCTGAGGCGATAGGCATTCGAACTATTAAACCTAAACTATGCATACAAAAAAGTTTGTACAGCCATTATTCCTCCCTTGGCCTGTTAAGACATAACCCCTGCCGACGCACACCTGATATCTATGATCGGCCTGCAAAATTTGGGCTACTAATATCACATGCTGAAAATTCCATACCTGTACTAAAAAGTACGGTGTGAAATCAAGCTGTAATCAAAAGAAAATAAATAGTATTCTCTGAGCTGGTTGGTTCAGTTGCGAAGCTTTCTTCGTCCTTCTGGACAACGTCTTCAGCGCAATATTTTGCATAAAGTGAAATGATTTAAACTTCTTCATGAGTGACATAACTGCGTCTCCTGGTAACCATCTTTACATATGTATTGACCATTTTCTGTTGACTTGGATTTTAAACTTTCTCGTCACATGATTTACATTTTGCTAGTTGGTATATTTGGTCTATATTAATGTGTTTGTTAATTGCATATTCGTTTGAGTACCAGGTTTCTAGGAATTCCCTGACTGCACTTTTAGTGTTTCCTCTGTCTAAGATTTCAACATTATCCCAATCAAATTGATGTCCATAATTGTCTATATGCATTCATACTAAAGAATATATATCATATCTTTTCACGGCTGATTTGTGTTCTTGGATTCTAATTCGAAGGGGACGCCCACTTTGGCCGATGTAATTCCTGTTACAGTTCATACAATTTATTTTGTGAATGGTATTAATTTTATCTCCTTTTTCTGTTGAATCTTTCAATTTGCATAATATCGAATTAAGCCATTTGACTGGCTGGCTTGTGTGCTATATCTGTATCAAACGGTTTCAGTATTCTAGCTGTTATTTCAGAGATATTTCTCATGTATGGTAGGATAAATTTTCTTGTGGTCATTGGTGATGGTTCCTTGTTGGTGTTGCGATTCGATTTTAAACACTTTTTGATGAAATTTTGTGGATATCCATTCCTCTTTTTGAAGACCGTTAGTAGGTATTTTTCTTCCATTCTTTTCAACTCTGGTGTGCTACAATGTGTTTGAACTCTTTTAAACAATGTCTGCACACAGTTTTGTTTGTGAGTAATTGGATTATTGCTAGTATTGTTGAGTATTTGATCTGTGCGTTGATTTTCTGTATACTTGTGTTTCTAAATTTTCTGTGTTGGTTATCTGTTATTTCAAAACCTGATCCTATTTCAGCTGACATTGTCTGTCGAGGGAGGCGATGGCTAGGCGTACGTAAAGCATATCCTAGCCATCTCATTCGATGTAGCTTCACAACCTTATTTGTTTATATTCCTACTTACCTAAAATTTGGCGCCTAATCTCCATATTACTATGCCTATTATATCACTTTACACGCGAGATAGAACGCTGGCAATTAAAACAGGATTCCCATTTAACTATAGTATTTTGTTAAATATTATTCAACAGGTGAAAGGTTAGAGTATGCCGGTCAAATGATGGATAATCACCCTTTTTTAAACTAACTAACATAAAAGCTGTTAGAATAAAATTAATCTGCACCGATAAATACCTAGTTATTCTCAATTTCTAATTCAGCAAAGAAGTATGTTAATCGTAAGTTGAAATGGTCTTATCATCATTACACTACTTAAATACTAATCCTCTTACATAAATAAATGTACTAGTTTTGTTGAAATTTTATTGCATAAATTATATTTTGGTACTTTGAATTTTAAACTATGACTATTGATGAAGTAAGTGGATGAATTTAAAAGCTTCCCACTAAGTAATTGCTGGAATGCGGGGCGTCTTTGATCTTGGTGTCTAACAGTGCGACCACATAATTTACTGATGTTTTACTGATTTACCTTAATGATACTAGTCATCAGTCTTTCCACTCGCAACATCAATCCTACAATCGTATGTTTACTTAAAAAGTGTAAAATTCACCTCCTAAACTATTAAAAGTTGTCCAATTCCTAGAGATAGAGCGGCGTAAGTTTGTCTAGAATGCTAAATTCAATACCCGTATCACTGGAGAGAAGTAGAGAAACTGAATGTTTTCAAGAGTTAGTTTGTACGGATTCAGTTTGTTTTGAATTTTGGCCATTGAAAACCAACAAGGAGTACTGGATAACTGTTTCTTCATACTTTGGGATTCGTCAGCGGTATGAACCCGCCGGTTCAAACCCAAGAACTTCTGGTTAAAAGGAGAGCTTGTAGACCACTCACCCTCTGGGACCCGATCTGATGACCTGTGAGCTCTGGTTTTTGCCAATTCTTGATTTTAGCACAGTCATCAGCCAATATTATTGGTGAGTACTGAACTTCTCTCTCGACCTGATGGACTCAGTTGATCACGACTTCTCAGTAGAACTCTAGTCAGCTTCGTCCTGTAGCCAGTCACTAGCGAGCATCATGGATCATTGAGTCAAGTCTTAGCGGCTGAGTGGTTTACGAGCTTGACTTGTAATCTGAAGTTACTAGGTCCAAACCTCAGTGGATGCATTGCTATGCTTTATCAATCTGCTTAGTACTTGCTTCTCATTACCAATGGTTTACGTCGTGCGAACCCATAGTCTTCTTAGACTACGATCATCATTGTTTATTATGTTCGGTGTATAGTAGCGATAATATGCTTGTAACTCAATTTAGATAAAAGTACTGAGATTTACAAACTGTCCTACATTTTCACTTATGGATAATTATATGTACTCATTGTTATTTTTAGAAAATAAGGTATTAGACTTAAATTCATTATTCCAACCATTTAACTATCATACTCACACATTAACAGTCAATGAATTTATTGCAAATTTTAGCTGTAATTCAGAAAGGTAAGCATAAGTATCTGACTTTTTCTTCCGTGTTGGACTTGTGAAGATTTGACTGATTTGAAGGCAGATTTCTTCACTAGACAAAGTCATTTAGAGAATCACTGAAAACCATGCATTACCGAACACCTGTTTCGTTTTAGTTTGCGAACCGTCATCAGTACTCACTCATCATCATTCCAGCCCAGGATATTCAGGTCAACAGACGAGCATATTATCATTCAGCCAATGGATGAGAATTCAGTGGCGCAGGAATTCTGCTTGTTAAACAAGCTTTTATAATTAGTCCTTTACTTCACTTATTTTTAAAAAATTTGATTGGACACTAGTTAATGACTAGTGTAGTGTGTCTAGTCCTTTGTTTGATGCAGACAGAATTCTATCAGTCAGGCTTGCAAGGTGGCCATCACTGTTAACTTTGAAATGTTGATAATGGATCGTTGGAGGTAATCGGCAGAAAGCCTTGTTTGATCTATGTTTCGTGCTAGTTGGTAATCACCAGTCAGCAGGGTGTATTTGAAACCCTAAAGGAATTCAAGTCCTTTTTGAGATTTCAACCCAAGTCTTGGTCAAGTACCTCTAAAACAGTTTTATAGGTTATATTCAACTTACGTTTTTGATAATGGTGGACGTTCCAGTTTGTACAACACATTCTGCAGTGATATAGTGGTTTGTGTTGCTATGATATAAAATCCCTGACACACAGTGTAATTCAATCTGTTTCATTGGTTAAAGAAATTGTTCAGTTTTCATACATAAATACTCATTTAGTCTCCTGTATGCACAGAGTTTATTTGTAAAGGATAAACACCTCGTCTTAGGAAACCATACAGCTTTCTTGAGTCATGATTTCAATTTCAAAAGATCCATCCATTTTTAAAAAGCTACAGTAATATAAAGTGCGCTATTAACAAAAATTACTCTAAAATTTTAAAAGAATTTGTATGTGGTTAAAAAAAAATGAAGCAGCTTCTTTGGAGTTGCACTCAATTGGATCACTTCAATGAATGAGTATTCAAAAGTTGCCTAAATAATCTGTAAATCATTAGCAGTTGAACTTTTGGACATTCTTTTGGTTGTAAATTTATAGAAAAAGAATTAAAAGGTGAGTGAGTCATTAGAGTTATATGTATTTTGTATTTTACAACTTGAGCTATATAAGTGTTCTACTGATCATACAGTGAACCGAACATGACCACTCTATAGTCTGTTTGAATCGAGGTCGATAGCTGAAAACTAGTCAGAAATATGATTTGTATCAATAACTTTACTCTAACTTAAATTACCTAGAAGTAGTTTGTTGAAATTTGTGTTAGTGAGATATCTATTTATATATATTTTAACTCAGAGTACGCAGAAACGCATCATTACAAACTCAGCGTAGTGGTTTGTTGCTTTTAATCATTGAAACACCTGAAGTTATTCATCAGTCTTAATGCGGCGAACTTTGTGATTTTTGAGTATGTATTTATATATATGACTTATTCCACAGCTGCCTTCATCGACTCCATGCAGAAGTTCAGATGGCCGGCTGGCCAGAAAAAATTAGCAAAAAGAAACTCTGGCTTAGAACGAACCAACCAAGAGCCGATTGCTTCACAAATATGGAGATGGATGAATCGGACACATGTTGAGGAGACCGTCGGATGGCATCGCGCGCAGTGCAGGCCATTGCTCGAATGGAATCCCTTTGGGAGGCGAGGAGTGGGTCGTCGGTGCGAGGGTGACATAGAGGCATTTGTGTGAGGAGTATATGAGAAACTATGGGCAAACTTTGACCCAGCTGAATAGGATTGAAGAAAACAGAACAAAGTAAATACGTGTTGCTGAAGCCCTATACTCCATTCGGAACCAAAGGGGATAGTAATGATGAATGCTATCTCAAATTACATTGGATCAATAGTGTCGATAGATTACATTTCGAAAGCAGCATCAATAAGAGGGAGAGAGATAATATGCACTAATGCAACACTTAATTGAATATCAGATGAATTGAGAGAATCAAGACAGAATTTATGGATTTATACGTCCCACAGCAGGCCAAAGTAGCGCCACAGGGCTGGCTCGACCTGTTTCATTTGCACACAGAGCTCCGGTCGATTTAAGTATATATCAACAGCCTTGAACTGTTCAGTATCTAGAGGCCTTCGGTAAACTACTGGGTACCCGGTGGATGATACAGAAAGATTCTTCAATGCTAACTTTTTGGCCTGCTTGGGACAGGTGATCTAATACAGAGCTGTTGACAGGCCTAACGACAGTATTATTTAGCGGCACTGGTCGGTTTTCCAAAGCACGAAAAATTAGTTTCCAAAAAAGAAACGACAGCAGTGATTTGTTATTCCAAAAAATTATATTCAATATTTTAATTTAATGAAAAAGTAGTCTGTTGTTCAGCCAAATCAACTCATAAAATTGAGTAAATAGGTTACACAGTGTATTACCTGAGAGTGGGAAGTGAGGTTGGACTATTATTAAAATCAGGTAAGTGCATGACTAAAATTTAGGTAAGCAGATGCATGTCTGTTCATACAATAATCTGTGAACCACATGCACTATATATTTCGAAATTATACTTCCTCTGGATCCTGTCATTCTGTTATTATTATTATTATTCCCTCTGGTTGCAAGTAGAACACAGGGTTTCAGCAGTACGTCTTCATTTTGTCCTGTTCTCTGAAGACCTCTTCAGCTGACCTCACGACTGCCAATAAGCTTTCATCTTCTCCCCACAAGATCTCTTCCATGTCACTCTCAGAAGCCTGACTTAGCGTTTGCCACTCGGGTTATACTGAAGCGATGGCTAGGTGTGCGATGGGACTCAATGGTCTCAACAGTATGTGTCCTATCACTCTCCGTTTTCTTCTAAATATCTCTTGAGTAATAGGTTTTGAGTTGGTTCGTTACCAGAGTTTCTTCTTATTAATTCTTTCTGCCTGGCTATCTGATCTTCAGTGTGGAACCAACAAGAATAGCTGTAGATCAGAGTTTAGAGGTTGGCCGTATCTCTTGTTCAGCAACTTCTAACTTATTTATTCTTGCGTACCAAAAACAAACCAAAAGCCAATATTTGATCGTCCAAACTACGTGATATATTTCGGGACCAAAACAAGCCGTCAGACGAACGCTTAGCTAGCTAGTGATCGTGCACGTGACACGACGGGGTACCAAATGGCGGGGATGCTTGACCGGAAGCCTTCAGCTAAACAAGTCGACTTAAACAGTGGTGGTCAGCATCCAATGGTGAGTGATTGCTGTGGTCAATAATTTTGGGGAATTATTTACCGCTATAGCTCACTCCCCCCCCTAGTGGGAAGGTGAGGACCCTAAGACAGAACCAGCCGGAAGTAAAAAAACTCGATGGTTCCCTTTCGGGTGAAAAAATCTTCCGAGCGGCTTGGTGGCATGCCTACTGGTTTGTCTGCCTATGCTAATAGGGTGTTTGTACATAGCTTCCTTGTTGTTGTTCGTTGGATCCCGTGCTTTGTTTGTTTCCTGTCCAGTGCCCGTCGCACCTGGAAAAAAAAACAAGAACGCTAAGATCCATGTCGAGGAAAATGTACCAAATCAGCTTTTATTTTTTAAAAAAATGATGTGCATTTACTATACAGTAAAATAATGCTAAGTTCAGAACATCGAAAAAAATACATCTAATTAATTCTTTTTTTGTGCATGTTACATGTACTGTTGAAAAAAAATTTTTACTTGTGTTCAGTGATACTAAATATAAAAACAAAAGTGATGCGTCTAAAAAAATAATTAGTACCACAAATGGATGAGTGGGGTGAGTCATACGACTTCGTTATGTTAAATAAGTGTGAAGATATTCTGGGGACCTTACGGTGCGTCCAGAACGGGTTTTCTTAGGAGGCTCGACAGAAGGTTCGGTAGCTGTCGCTGTGCTAGTGACTTCATCGAGGTCTAAACGATCTTCTGTTACTTGTGGATTGTGGGATACGTTGAGCTCTATGCTAATAGGATTACCCTCCAAGTAAGCCGGTTTCAGACGGTCAATGCTGACGGTGTCCTCGCGGTCTTTTTTGTTTAAGACAAGGAATTTATCCGAATGTTTAATTACTTTATAAGGTCCGTCGTATGGGGGTTCCAGAGGTCTGCTCACAGAGTCGCGACGAACAAATACGTGTGAAGAAGTTTTTAAACACGGATGAACGGAAACATCAATGGACTGTGGACGAAGGGGAGAAGGTTTAACTGGACGCATTGCGTTTTGAAGCCTACTGACGTATGAAGCATGATCTATTGCTGGTGGGAAGCTCGAGGGAGAAACAAATTCACTAGGCAGTCGTAGTGTCGTGCCATATACCAGCTCGGCGCTAGTACAGCCAGTATCGGTTTACAAGGCGTTTCGTATCCCTAGGAGAACTAACGGAAGGGGTTCAGTCCAATGGGTGCTGTTTGCAGCTGACAGATTAGCTTTCAACTGTCTGTGTAGACGTTCTACCATACCATTAGCTTCGGGATGATAGGCTGTTGTTCGAAAACGCATGCAACCTATGATTTTAGACCGGGCGAAGAATAAGCCACTTTCGAATTGCCGCCCGCGATCAACTGTTATGGAAGATGGGCATCCAGAGTTAGCGATCCATCTTTCTACAAAGACACGTGCGACTGTTTCACCAGATACGTCCTTGATGGGTGCTGCTTCCGGCCATCGTGTGAATCGATCGATGCAAGTTACAATATAGGTGTATCCATGGGATTCAGGAAGGGGTCCAACCAAATCTATATGGACGTGTTCAAAACGGGCGTTAGGGAGAAGAAAGGTGCCAAGTGGCCTTTTGGTGTGTCTTTTGACAAGCTAAGCACGTGTGTGCCCATTCCCTTACTTCTTTATTAATGCCAGGCCAACAAAACCGGCTAGTTACGAGCTTGATAGTAGTTCGAATACCTGGGTGAGATAAGCCATGCAACGTATTGAAGACGTTACGGCGATAACTTTTAGGCACGATGGGGCGAGTAGTACTCGTGGAAATGTCGCACAGAATAGTATCTCTTCCCATACCTAATGGTTTCTCAGATAATTGTAGGGTTGTTTTCGACAACTCAAGTTGAAGCTCGGCATCTTCTTTTTGAAGACGAGCCAGTTTTACAAGGTCTATGCCGTCGATTTGGGCGAGGGAACAAACGCACAACAAGGCATCTGCCACAGTGTTGTTCACTCCGGATACATGGCGAATATCTGATGTAAACTGTGAGACGTAATCCAGTTGTCGTGATTCCCTAGGTGAATACCTATCTGAAGATGAGTTCAGAGAGTACGTCAGAGGTTTGTGATCAGTAAAAATTATAAATTCACGACCCTCTACCGAATGTCTAAAATGTCGTATAGCACAGTACATAGCCAGAAGTTCTCTGCCGAATGTGCTGTACTTTGTTTCAGCTAATTGAAGGCGCCTCGAGAAAAAGGCGAGTGGTTGCCACTCTTTGTTGTGTGCGTCGGTGGTATAGCGGTTAGGACGCTCGCCGACCATGCACATGGTCCGGGGTTCGATCCCCGGCCGACGCACACCTTTACCTCTCTAAGCCAGAAATAATTCTGGTAAAGAGCAAAGGTTGGGCATGAGGCTAGCAATCCCATCCTGTAAAATAAACTCGGCTACAGAAACTTCAAGCCACTAGCTTGAAGCCCACTGGGGAACGTGAAGGAAAAAAATTATTTTGCCACTCTTTGTTAACTAGCTGTTGTAGAACTGCGCCGATTGCAGTGTTTGATGCATCAACCGAGATACTTAACGGTGCCGTTGGATCCTGATACATCAGAAGTGTGGCATTCGCAATAGCTTTTTTAATCTGGGTAAAAGCATTTCGAGCAGACGCGTCAAGTTCTATGGACTTGTTATTCCCTCGAAGAAGTTCTGTCAATGGCTGAATCGAAGAGGCACAGTTGGGAATAAAGCGTCGATAATAACTTACTAAGCCGTTAAAAGTGCGGAGACTTTTCACCGTCTGTGGCTCTGGAAAGTTCAGTATAGCCTCGACCTTAGTAGCCAGTGGGCGAATGCCCTTGCAGTCAATAGTGTGACCCAGGAAGTCGAGTGAGTCAACACCGATTTGACACTTTTGAATATTGATGGTAACACCATGTTGGCGTAACCTTTCAAATGCCAAGTCCAAGTGCCTAAGGTGAGTTTCCTTGTCTGGACTGGCAATGAGGCAGTCGTCTAAGTATGCGTATACAAAGTCGAGACCGCGAAATACTTCGTCAATGAAGCGTTGGAATGTTTGGGCTGCATTCCGGAGACCGAATGGCATACGTAGAAATTCAAAAAGTCCGAAAGGCGTAATGATAGCCGTTTTCGGGATATCTTCTGTTGCCATCGGGATTTGGTTATACGCTTTAACCAAGTCGATTTTGGAGAATATAGTCGCGCCGGATAAGGTTGCCGTCAAGTCGTGTATATGAGGCAACGGGTAGCAATCAGGGGTTGTTTTGGCATTCACTCGCCGGTAATCACCGGTGGGTCGCCAATCATTGCTATCCTTTTTCGGAACCATATGAAGTGGGGATGCCCATGGGCTATTCGAAGGTCGAATGATGCCAAGGGTAAGCATATGGTCAAATTCATTCCTGGCGATTCTCAGTTTGTCAGGAGCTAATCGTCGTGCTTTAGATGTCACAGGTTGTCCTGTGGTAATGATGTGGTGCATAACATTGCTGGTTATGCACGGTAGGTCGTTCGACGGGCAATTAAGTTCCGGATACTTGTCAACAATAGGTTGAAAAGTTGGATCAAGGATTGCCTTTATCTTAACGGGTGACAAACTGGGGCCTATGTAGCTGATGCCTTTGATAGACAGACTAGTAGTATTGTCAATCAGTCGTTTTCGGCGGACGTCTACGAGTAAATCATGATGATTAAGTAGGTCCGTGCCAATGATGGGCATTGTAACGTCAGCGAGAAGGAAAATCCACCGAATAGGTTTGCGTAAACCTACGTTCAGATAGACGTATTTCCTACCAAAGGTTGCGATTGGTTTTCCATTTGCAGCCTGTAAGTTGAAGGTAGGTTCCTTCTGTCGATCTGCTGCTGTAGCAGGAAGGACGCTGACTTCGGCGCCTGTGTCGACTAAGTATCGAGTCTGGCTTATCACATCATGGATGTAAAGAAGGCGGCTAGTGCCACCGGCGACGGTTGCCGCTAACGCGTGCCGGCGGGATAGTTTCCCACAGACTTTGAGACATTTCCGAAGTTACAAGGCTTACGGCAACACTTCGCTTCTTGGCCATAGGTGTTGTGGTACCAGCACCAGTCAGGGTTTTTCAGTGAACGTGGTTTGGACTTAGATCGACCACGTGAGTTCCTGCGTTGAGGAGATTTAGGACGACGGTCGGAGGAGTTAGAATGCATGTTTGACCTAAACATCTGCTGGATGGAGTTGCATAACTCTATCATTGCAGGATCCTTACTCGAAGTCTGCTTAGTCATCGAGCATATTTCGGGAACTGACCGTTTAGTTATTTCTAGAATCCTATCTGCAGTAATAGCTAAGTCCTCTATTACAGTACCCTGAAGTGTCACAAGTACGGTCTGTACAGACTGTGGCAGCTTGGATAAGAAGAGTTCTCTAAAAGTCCTTCGTCGAACTGACTTTGGCCAATAACTCCTCTCATTCTTGTCAGCATGCTCACGGCTGACTGATCTCCTAACTCGATGTTACGAAATAATTCATCTAGACGTTGTCGGTCCGTGAGAACGTTTCTCCTGAGGAGGGATGCTTTGAGCAACTCGTACGAGTTACTTACCTCGGGACTCAACATCTGTGATGTTACGTACTTGCTGAATTCCCGCGGTAGGGCGTGAATAACTGCAAGTAACTGTGAACGTTGATCGGTTATCCCATGCTCACAAAAATCTGCTTCAGCTAGCAGAAACCACGTTTCAGCATTATCTGGCCAGTATGGTACGAGCTGAATGGTTTTAGGAGTTGAGCGGATACGAATGACCTTGGGACTAAGATCACTCATGACGAAAATTATGTCGAATAATATATGGTACAAGAACAAATACAAAATGGAACGAACTCACCAGGGTTATCTGCGGATTTATCGTAGATGAAGTTCGCGGTTGGGCTCACCAGTTTAGAGGTTGACCGTATCTCTTGTTCAGCAACTTCTAATTATTATTCTCGCGTACCAAAACAAAGCAAAAGCCAATATTTGATCGTCCAAACTACGTGATATATTTCGGGACCAAAACAAGCCGTCAGACGAACGCTTAGCTAGCTAGTGATCGTGCACGTGACACGACGGGGTACCAAATGGCGGGGATGCTTGACCGGAAGCCTTCAGCTAAACAAGTCGACTTAAACAGTGGTGGTCAGCATCCAATGGTGAGTGATTGCTGTGGTCAATAATTTTGGGGAATTATTTACCGCTACAAGAGTCTTCATCCGCCTGTTCGAAACGTTTTTTGGTGACGTGTTCACCAAGTATCTGACCCATTGACTAAATATTGGTGTTGGAAATCTGAATCTTGTTTTTTTAATAATAATAATTTGCCTTATTGCAAAACAGTACTTGTGATACAGAATGGAATTCCCAGCATTTCATTACAGTATTGCATACAGTTTTTACATTTACAATAAATAAAATTCTACATAGATTAAGGGTAATCTTAGTTAGTTTTGACAACAACATATTAGCATATCGATAGCAAAGCCAAAATTGAACAGAATGTTTGAAGGTGTTAGAAAAGTAGATACTAGCATATTTACTGGCGTAAGCGGTAACAAAAGGTCGAGATATACAGAATATGGAAGAACGAAGAAGAATATTTTAAGTGGAGAAAGAAAGAAAACGTTATACCTATAAATGATATGAGTTGGAAAGACGAGATCCAGTTGTTCTACTGACTATTTAATATGTAATATGTTTCACGCCTAATGCTTTATTTATCGCACAGAACATGAACCAAATAGGGAATGGCTGAGTTTTTGTACTTGCTAGTGCAAGCATATAGTTTCTGGCCCTGCCTGATGAGATACAAGGGGAGAGTTGTAAATGAAGAGGGTGGTGTAAGTTAGATAAAATGAATTTAGCCCATTTTTCACATGAGTCCAAGTCTCTGTCAACCAGAGTATTAACAAGCTGGTTATGTGGCACGTAGCTTACCCTGTTGACAACCATTACCATACTGCGTCATTAGATATAGTCCTTTTTCAGTAACCCAGAAAAAACTAAGAGGGAACAATAGAGAATAATAAGCAGGATGCAAGAGTTAACGAATCGTAATAGTAAGGGTTAAGTTATACCAGAATGTCTTAACTTCTTGACTAAGAAAGTAAGACGGAATATTTTCGTAGAAATCATCACGATATGAGACGACCAGGAAAGATCAGCAGACAGAATGACGCCTAGGCATTTAATTTCCGACTTGGTTTCTATTTCAGTGTCACCTATGTTGCACACCTCGTGAGTGCTAACCAGTTTTTTTTAGGTCAGATTTATGCCTAAAAGTGAAATTGACTGTTTGGCATTTGCATGGATTTAACCATTGTATCCTTTAGTTCCTAGAGGAACATAGGGCTTCAGCTGCGCACCTCCATTGACTTCGGTTTTCTGACAACTTTTTCAACCTGCTCCAGGTCTGTCCACATGCTTTCATCTCCTCCTCGCATGACCTCCTCCAAGTCACCCTTGGACGACCAACTCGCCGCCTCCCTTTCGGGTTCCAATCGAGGGCTTGTCTAGTGATGTCACTTGATGGTTTCCTCAGCGTATGGCCAATCCATCTCCATTTCTTTCTGCCTATTTGTTTCACAATCGGTTCCTGATTGGTTCGCTCCCAGAGACCTAATTTCTGATAGAAAGCCATTTAGTTTGGAGCAGTCACTTTGACACTTGACAGGCAAAGATACAGTCAGATCGTCAGCATATTTGTTTGTACTGAGTGGAACAGACTTCTAAACTGATTTCACATTTTGATGAAGCCCTGTCTTACCTTTCCGATTCTCATTTTGACATCCCTCATCGGTTCTGTTGCCTGTAGTTGAAACGATGTTGTCTGGTCGGATAAGTGAAGGAAGTGACCTCTGACAAATTTATCCCGTTGAAAGTAACTGGTGCTTGTTACTGCTGTTCGTTTAGTTGGTTGGTTGGTTGGTTATCTTCGCTACCTGCATTATCGCCATGTTCACTTGAAGTAGTACACTTCGCTGGCTGCTTCTTTTGTCAGTTTGTTAGTCTTAACCCGTAAGTCGTCGAATTTATATGACATTAGACATCAGTCATCCGCGAAGTCCAGACCTTCCACAGTCTTCTTTTTATGCAGAAATAAAATTAGCGTACTTAATAAAGTATACAGAAATATCATTTGTATTATAAATAACTGTAATTTGTAGCAATGTTTAAAAGTTGTAAGTTGAGTTTTAATTTAATAAACGTCTTTAAACTTTTGTTCTCATCTGCAAAGTATATATTTTTATATGTCTATATATAACTTAGTCAGTTTGTAGTTGGATTTTGTGTAATCTTAGGAAACTTCGTAAGAAGTTAATAAAAAAGCGTGTAGGCAAATTTCTCAGTACAACTCCGCTATGTCGATAAGAAAGTATGAACAATCAAAGAATAGTAGAAAGTACTGTACTACTGTAACAACAGAAGGCAAGTGATCAAACCACTATTTATATATACATACGGTTTTATATTCTTTAACCAATCACTGAACGTAGGATTTTGGTTTACATTTGACAATGTGAAAGAGAATGTTCAAATACATACATAGTATTCGGTTAATAATGCAGTACTGAACTGTGGGAATATTATTATTATTGTTCCCTTGGGTTCCTAGTGGAACATAGGGCTTCAACTGCACGTCTCCACTTGCTTCTGTCTTCCTTCTGCTGTACTTCTCACCTGCATCCATCCGTGTTAGTCCATACTGTTTCAACTCCTCTCTCTTCACACCATCTCCTCCATGTCACCCTTGCAGTGACATCCCACTCGCCGCTTCCCTCTCGGGTTCCACTCCAGGGCCTGACGCGCGATGTCAGCAACCGGCCTCTTCAGCGAGCGAGTGTCTAATCCATTTCCCTCCACTTTCTCCTGCATATTTGTTGGTTGGTGATTGGTTCTTGTTTTGTTTGTTGGTTACCATAGATTCTTGTTGGTGACTCTTTCCGGCCCGGCCATCTGATCTTCAGTATAGAGCCAGCGAAGACAGTTGTTGATGAAGGTCTGCAACAGGCTGTTGGAAATACTCTTTGTGACCCGCCCGCCAAGTTTCTGATCCGATCCGTATAGAAGAACTGACTTGACGTTTGTATTGAAGATCTGACCGAATTTTGTTGTTCATGCTGAGTGACGAAGATTTCCAAATGGGTTTCAGGTTGATGAATGTGGGAATATGCCAGGATAATAATCTGTTTGAACAAATTGTCTGTATCACACCACCACACTACTATAATTTATTATTTCAATCCTCTGGGTTCCGAGAGGAACATAGGGCTTCAAGCTTGAGCTCTGAAGTCCCCCTAGCAACGGTGCCTAGGTTTTACGGAGTGAGGTTGCCAGCCTCATGCTCAGCCTCCCTCCCCTCTTTATTGGGTTTACTACTGGTTAAAAGAGGTAAGGAGTGCTTCGGCCAGGGATCGAACTTCAGACCACGCCCGTGACTGGTGAGAATTCGACCACTGAACCATATGACAGGCCTTATGTGGAGAAAAGGTTATTTTTTTGTTTACCTGGGCATCAGTTCCAGTACCTGTCGCACGCTAAGCGAGCACTGTACCATTTGAGCTAGTACCGCTGCACTAAGTACATTGAATTTAATAATATTAAAGACAATCAACAATGATCACGAATTTAGAAGCTAGTAAGTTCTAGTGTTTGTGGTTATCTGAAGTTGTAGGTTGAGTTATTCTGTGAGCTAGAGCTGCTTCATCTGAAAATTTTCCGACATCGTAGCCTACTTCTATGATCAGTGCAACACCACATTTGTGGTGTTTTAGTGCTCCAGCTAACAATTAAGGTATCAAGCAGGCTAATGTATGGATGGCATTTACGCACTCAACTTAATGACTAAGTTGATGATCGTCATAGTTTCAAGATCACCTCTCACTTTGATAAGGTAGATATTGGCATTAATATAATCTGACTCCTTAGTGAAAAATGATACTTGAATGTTTTAGTATTTTACTTCCCACCAGAGGTGTAAAAGAAGAGATGATGAATTTGTAGACAAAGAGACTTGTAAAGTTAGTGTTGGAAAATCAGCAGTAGACATTCATTCATTCTCACAACATTTATGTAATTTTGTAACAGTTAGAGACAAATTTGAGATGAAATGTCGTTGGAGTGAAGTTAACGTAAACAAATCATTTGTGAAGAGACTCTTTTCAACAACGAATTTATTATCAAGCTGTACAGTCGTATATTTATGGTTTTTAAGAAATAATATCCGATGAGGGAATTAGGTCAAAGGTGTGAATACATGAAATAATAATAATAGTATGAAATGCAATTAAAATATTTGTGATTGTAATCATAGTTAAGTGTCAAGTGGCAAAATAATTAATGTCATACATAGAATAATATATAAGGTGTATAGATTTCGGAAAGCGGTACGTAACTATAGGATTAGTAGACGAATACAAAATGTTACATAACATGTTGTGAAATTTGATAAGATAGAATTCAATATTGTAAAAATAAAAAAATATAAAAATTAGTAATTTTGGGTTTAAAATGACAAGTGGAAAAGATTCAGAGCGAGAATAGTAATACTAATAATGATAATAATAATCATAGTGATAAGGGAAAAGTACATAGAATAACTGAATAGACAAAATAAATGAATAAATGCCTATCCCTCTACGGCCAAGGCAGAAGTAGGGATTGTACATACTTCTTTTGTACACAAAAGTCTAGCTTAAAGTCATGAATTGCCAAGGCCTCAGCTGTCTTTATAAGTCTGTAACGAAGAAAACGTGGGAAGTTAGTATGGATTCGGTAGATGATCTCAAAGTCATGTTCAGGGTTGCTAGAGTGACAGGACTTGATCAGGTGATCTAGAATAGAGCTTCATACAGTCTTCCCTTCTCCCTTGTAAAATCATGCTGGAATATGTTCTCGTATTCGTGTGAAGAGTGTCCTCTGGCTACGGCCAATGAACCTTACTCCACAAGAGCAGGTGAACTGGTAGATGAACATGGAGGCGGCCAGTTGGGGGAGTTTATCTTCTACAGAGATGGAGAACAATTTGTGGCAGGTGAAGGTCATTTGTAATTTCGCTGCAAGAAAAGTCTTACTGACTGATTTAGCGAGACCTAAATCTATACACCTTTTGTATTATTCTACATATGACATTAATTATTTTGCCACTTGACATTAAACTATGATTATAATCACAAATATTTTAATTGCTTTTCATATTACTGTTATAATTTCATGTATTCACACCTTTGACCTAATTTTAAAAATATACGACTGTACAGCTTCATAATAAATTCATTGAAAAGAGTCACTTCACTGAATATTGTGTTCCTAATGCTACAATGGGAATTATTAAATTATTGAAATAATTTGTGTACGACATTTTGTTCGGTAAGATACCAGTATTACTTTGTGATATATGTAAAGAAAAAGCAATATAAAATGGAAGTAAATGCTCCTTATTCATTCTCTGAGCATGGTGCCCTGCGGATCACTAAAAAAACTGTACGAAAATAACGGATTAGCCTAGATAAAAAGAGTTTTAATAACTTGGTCGATGGTGATTAGCAGTGGAATCCAGTACAGGCAGTAGGAACAGCATTACTCACTGGGAAATGTTAGTATGTCTAGATGACGAGCCCAAAATAGGACGAAATGTGCATCCTGGATTCCACTGTGAGTCACCATCTACCGAATTACTTGAAATTCAATCCTCGCACATCGTTGAAGCAATCGTACAAGGATCCAGCTTGTTAACAGAGGCCGGTAACCTTGGTCCAATCAATGAATGGGAAAGTCAAAGTTCTAACAGGTCTAACAGACAAATACATTTCAATCTTAAGGTGGAAATGAGTATTGAGACTGAGTCTTTCATATTAGGTTTCCTTAGTTTCTAGTCTGTGTGTAACGGCAGAAGATAAACGACCACGTGACGGACGTTTATTAAGGAGAAAACACTTCATATTAATGCATTCTTAGCCACATGAAAGTTCATTTAGGTTAAAGGAGAGCAAATTGTTCTAATTAGTTAGCAACTGGCCAAATGTTAAACAACTTGTACAATGGGACTTCATCATGTCCACAACGTAAACTAAATCCAGATTTGTAGAACAGACACTTTTACCTCTGCAACCAGCAACTGATGTAAAATATCGATTTCAATTTTGACCGCTTCCTATCAGTCTACTGAATTTTGCAAAGGATTTTCCTTAGTCCTTATAAGGTATGAAGGCATTCCATCAGGCATTTCTCTACTTAATTCCCTGAGCATTTGAAAACCAACAAAACTTTAGGCGTTTTAGTAGCTTTGTTACGTGAATCACCATTCTCCGATAGCTTAAATCTTTAAGATAGTCAGGAGTCACTTAAATCTTAGGTAAACAAACTGAAGTTTAAGTCGAAAGTCTTACTCAGTCCACTACACATTCCAGAGCAACAGATGAAATTGGAAAGGTGTTAAACAGTTCAATTTTCGTTCTAATTACAACTCCACAACTAAGATATAAACAAAGCGATGAAACCTACATTCCAAAGTTATTCATCAGTGAGGACTTTGAAGAGCTGTTCTAAATGTCTGTGGAAATAATTTAGCTAAAGTGAATCAAGGAAATCTTACACATATCCTCAAAAGATTTTCAAAATTACCATTTCACTAGCTTGACAGATTTAGAGGAAAGTTCCCAGCATACCCTAAACATTGTCAGTTTAACTAAGGCTAACTTTTTGAAGTACTTACATCTCTCTTTGTAACAATCGATCGGTGCTAAGTTGCTTTATATAAGCTGAGAAACAATCTGTACCTTTCCATCTAGTAATGCTTACAAACATTAAAAAGATAATGTTAGAGATGTGCTAATGTAAGTGTAGGAGTTGGGCACTGCGATAGAATTTAATTCCATACCAGACAAGTTTTGTTTTAAATGTCACACTGTGATGCAGTATTAATAACTGGATGATGCTTCGAGTAAAAAATTACTGCTCTAAATCGTATCAGTTAAGTGACACGTCTTCACAATTTGTCATGATGGACGACTGTATTGGGTCCCAGTGGCTTAATGGTATACAAGCTCGCCTCGTAACCAGAAGTTCCTGGGTTTGAACCTCAGTTAGTGCGTACTGATAATGAGTCCCAAACTAGGACGAAACAGCTGTCTAGTACTCTCAGGTTTTCCAATGGTCCTCTAACTGATGTCATCTCATGATGATATCCTGAAACCAATAAAATCCTTGCAAACCAACACTTGATTTTATAATATATATTTATATATATATATATATATGCTAGTTCTGACACAATTGCAACTCTGCGCATAATCATCACAGAACAAAGCATGGAATGGCAATCAAACCTCCACCTCAACTTTATAGACTTTGAGAAGGCCTTCGACAGCGTTGATCGCGAAGCAATTTGGAAACTACTCGAGTACTACGGCGTACAGTGCCCCAAATATTCATCAACCTTATTCAACAGCTGTACGACAACGTGACATGTCAAGTGATCCACAACGGAAAACTCAGCAAGGCGTTTGGAGTAAACACAGGAGTCAGACAAGGGTGCTTATTATCACCAATGATATTCCTAATTGTGGTGGACTGAGTGGATTATGCATCAGACAGTGGGTTACGAGAAGACAGAGATATCTCTGGACCGACGTGAAGAACCTAGAAGACCTGGATTTCGCGCGCGGATGATTTATGTTTGATGTCACACAAAATCGAAGACTTACAAGCTAAAACCGACAAACTGGTTGAAGAAGCAGCAAGGTGAACATAGACAAGACGGAGGTTATGAAAATAACCACCACCAACAACAACAATAACAACAACAGCAGCAGCAACACCCAGCGCCAATCACCATCACAACGGGAGGGATTTGAAAGAGGTTACTTCATTCACTCACTTATCTGGGGACCATTGTCTCAACTACAGGCAGTCGGAACGGACGAGGATGTCAAATCGAGCGAGAATCGGGAAGACGAGAAACACATTCATCAATCTGAAACCAATTTGGAAATCTTCGTCACTCAGCCAGCGTTAACAGCGAAATTCAGTCGGATTTTCAATACAAACAACGTCAAGTCAGTCAGTTCTTCTATACGGATCAGAAACTTACTTGGCGGGTGGGTCACAAAGAATATTTCCAACCTTTGTCAACAACTGTTTTCGCTGGCTCTATACTGAAGATCAGATGGCCGGGCCGGAAAGAATCACCAACAAGAATCTACTGGTAACCAACAAACAAAACAAGAACCAATCGCCAACCAACAAATATGCAGGAGAAAGTGGAGATGGATTGGACACTCGCTGAGGAGGCCGCTGGGTGACATTGGGCGCGCGTCAGGCCATTGCTCGAGTGGAACCAGGCCGAAAGGGAAGCGGCGAGTGGGACGTCAATGCAAGGGTGACATGGAGGAGATGGTGTGAAGAGGAGTTGAAACAGTATGGACGAACATGGATGCAGGTGAGAAGTACAGCAGAAGGAAGACAGAAGCAAGTGGAGACGTGCAGTTGAAGCCCTATGTTCCACTAGGAACTCAAGGGAACAATAATAATATGCTAGTATACTCAATAGCTGTTAACTTTAATACCTTGCGGCCTATACGTCAATGAATTACAGATGAAAACAACGGATTTGAAGTCACAGTATCTGTTAAAACGACAGCTGCTTGTTCGAATCCTGGGCTACAAAAATGTTCCATTTTTATTTCGCGTTGTTCTTCTGCTTCTTGTTTAGTTTGCCTTACTTAATCTATTAAAATATAGCCTCTAATTGTGTTCTCTACTCTTGAAAGTAATAAAAATGTCGACAGCCTGCTGATGAGATAGTTCCCACTAAATTTACGAGAAATTGTAATCGTGGGTAGATTTACAGTCAGGTAATATTTCACACGAAGATCCTGGACAAAGAGAAAACTTAATGCAATAATTTCCGCTAAAAAATCTGTTTTTTTATTCCTTCACGTTCCCCAGTGGAAAATAGGGCTTCAAGCTAGTGGCCTGAAGTTCCTGTAGCAGTGTTTAATTTTACAGGATAGGGTTGCTAGCCTCATGCCAAACCTTGCCTCTTTACCAGCATTATTTCTGGCTCAGGGAGGTAAAGGAGTGGGTCGGTCGGGAATCGAACCCCGGACCATGTGCATGGTCGGCGAGCGTCCTAACCTCTATGCTACCAACGCAAAAGCGGAGTACGTCGGCCGGGAATTCTGTACATGATGACAAATACTGTTTGGACTATTGCGATTATTATTATTACTATTACTATTATCATTATTATTAAGATATCTACGAAATATTGTACAAGTTTACTGCATAAACATGTATTTTCAACCTGATTCTTAAAATCACAGTTCAAGAAAGTGGTGAGCCTAAAGGTGAGTAAATTTGTTGAACTTATTGATAACATTTTGATATCTGTCTCGTCTTTTTTAATAAATTTGAAGCAGAATAAAAAATATAATTAACAGAACTATTTGGATTTCCTCCGTCATAATGAATTTATATATTAAGACAGTTTAATTAATTTCATTCTACTAACTAACAAGCGAAAGGATCCTTCTCCCATATTTCGATTTTTATGATGTTCCTTCAGCTGATTGCGAAGCTTTCCTTGTCCCCATTCCAGACAACATCTTCAACTCAGGCTTTATTTAATATGAATTAAACTTGTTTAAAATTTCCACGTGAATGACATAATTGTATCTCCTGACAACCGTTGGTATGATTGCTTGTTAACTTTCATCTTTATCGATTGACCTTGAAATTTGAACTTCCTTGTCATCTGGTTTACTTTTTTATTAGTTGATAAATTTGATGCTGAAGAGTCCCAAACTAGGTGGACGAAACAGCTGTCCAGTACTCCCAGGTTTTCCAGTGGTTCTCTAACTGATGTCAGCTCATGATGAAATCCTCCATGCAATCATATTTGATGTGTAACAATCATGTGTTTTCGTTAATCTCTGATTCATTCGAGTACCAGGCTTCTCTAAAAATTCCCTGATAGATCTGACGTTTCCTCTGATTGAAACTTCTAAAAATTTTTCCAGTCGAATTGGTCTCCATAATCACCTGAATGCATCGGTATGAAAAAAGATACATGTCGTATCTTTTCTCAGTTGTTTTCTGATCTTGGATTCTGGGTCGACTGGGACGCCCACTTAAACCAATGTAGTGCTTATTGTAGTTTATGCAATTTACTTTGCGAATGGTATTGATTTGATCTTCTTCTGCTGTTGGATTCTTTGTCCTGCACAATATATAATGAAGTAACTGTATTGGCCTGTGGGCTATCTCTGTTTCTAATTGTTCTTGTATTCTAGGAGTGATTTCAGAGATATTCTTCATGTATATGTAATACTCCTTTGAATTTAAACATTTTTTGAAGAACCTGAATGAGCATTCATTCTTTTGAAAAAACACTTGGTAGATATTTCTCACATATTATTCTCTTCAGTGCTGGAGTTATACAGTGTACGTGAACTCTTTTAAACAATAACAAGAGCTTAAAACAATTAGTCCCTTTGATAAATTTGAATAAGGCATTTAGAAGACAAATTTCGCGAGATGATATCATTTCGTAGTTTCTTTACAACCGCCTTACAACTAACATGGTTAACAATTATAAAATAAAATAAACCTCTTGACAATTAATCAGTTAAATAAAAAAACAAAAGTACATACTACTAACGACCAATCATATTTATTCTGTGGACTCTACTTCAAACTGTATCTACAAGTTCACCTGCAGCTGCGGTGACACCTATATAGGTAGAACTAACACAATGTTCCAATGTCGTCGAAAAGAACATGTTCCAAAATGGCTACTAAATCATATCGAAAATCCTAACGCGATTAATCTTAATAGAAATCCAGCATCATCCATTGCAAAACACTTATTAATGTCTGGTCACAAAATAAATATTAATGACTGTTTCACAATTATTTCACATAACTCTAATTCAAGGTTATTGAAGGTGATGGAAGCACTTTGGATTAGTCACATACGGCCTAAACTGTGTGTACAAAAATCAATAGACTTCAATCTTCGCCTACCCTGGACTGCATGACCTATCTTAATATGATTGGTCATTAGTATGTACTTTTGTTTTTATTTAACTGAGTAATTTTCATGAACTTTATTTTATCATTGTTAACCATGTTGGTTGTAAAGCGGTTGTAAAGAAACTACGAAATGATATCATCTCGCGAAATTTGTCTTCTTAATGCCTTATTCAAATTTATCAAAGGGACTAATTGTTTTAATATTTAAATAGGTCATGTAGTCTATGGTAGGCAGGTAGGAAGACTGAAGTCTATCGTTTTTTGTATACACAGTTTAGGCTGTATGTGACTAATCCAAAGTGCTTCCATCACCTTCAATAACCTTGAATTAGAGTTATGTGAAATAATTGTGAAACAGTCATTAATATTTATTTTGTGACCAGACATTAATAAGTGTTTTGCAATGGATGATGCTGGATTTCTACTAAGATTAATCGCGTTAGGATTTTCGATATGATTTAGTAGCCATTTTGGAATATGTTCTTTTCGACGACATTGGAACATTGTGTTAGTTCTACCTATATAGGTGTCACCGCAGCTGCAGGTGAACTTGTAGATACAGTTTGAAGTAGAGTCCACAGAATTTCGTCCTTTAATCCTAGGTAGGTACAGGGATCGAAAATGTTCGGCAAATGAGAAAAAGAGATGTGGCGTAGAACGTGAGTTTAATGGCTGACCGAAGTCTTTAAGCTAGCTGTCAATTGCATAATCTGGTCACCCTTGAATGGTAGTTTAATAAAAATAGCTGTCTTTGGTGCAGAAGTTGTCTTTTCGAGATGTGGTAAAGCGGTTGTAAAGAAACCACGAAATGAAGATATCATCTCGCGAAATTTGTCTTCTAAATACCTTATTGAAATGACAAGAACGTTCAAATACCATGTCAGCAAAAACGATCAATAAAGATGTAAATTTACAACCAATCATAACAATGGTTATCAGGAGATATGGTTATATCATTCATTCATGGAGAATTCAAAAAATAAAATAAAAATATTGAAGCTTTTTTGAAGATGTTGTCTAGAGGAGAGACAATGAAGGCTTCGCAATTCAATCAACCAGCTCATCGAAAACAACCAAATCAAAATCATCCATCTGAGCTACAAATCTTCTCCATTATTTCAAAATACGTATTGCCCTAGTAATTCAGTTCCTCAGAGAATAATGCTTAGGTGTTATTACGAGGGCTCCTAACTTTGATTCATCAAAGAAATAGTAATGCATGAAAAAATAGATTTAGAAGATGAATTTCAGAGAATAAGTAACGTGTTTCTTGCCTTCCATTTATAGACACAAGTTTAATTTTCAAGTATTGGTTTTTTAGGGATTTTTTGTTTGATTGCATGGAGGATTTCATCATGAGCTGACTGACATCAATTAGAGGACCACTGGAAAACCTGGGAGTACTGGACAACTGTTTCGTCCCAGTTTGAAACTCTTCATCAGTACGCACTCATTGGGGTTCGAACCCAGGATCTTGTGGTTACAAGACGAGCCCGTAGACCATTGAGCCACTAAGAGCCACTGAGTGCGTGCCGCCGAAGAGTCTCAAACTAGGACAAAACAGCTGTCTAGTTCTCCCAGGTTTTCCAGTGGCTCTCTAACTGATGCCAGATCATGATGAAATCCTCCATGCAATCAGACACAAGTTCACACAATCATATATATATATATATATATATAGGGAGAGAGAGAGAAAGAAAGGAAGAATAGATTTCGCTTCATTCATGTACATCTTGTAGATACATGTAGATAAAACTAAATACTACTGATTAATTGAAGTGAGTACTGTATACCACTGGAATGAAGCATTAGTACTTGCTAGCCAAATCAAAGTGGTTGAAGCTCTGAATGGCTGGTTCTATCATTTGTGGCCGGGATTGTCAGCAGTGTACCTGATTTGACTCAGATTAGAGAACCGTCTTATTTAAAACTAACGGATTCCTGACTAACTACTTCGGTGGACTGGCGACAACATAAATTAGATTCACAGTTTACAAATGAGTTAGCAATTTGCAATATACACAGTTCAGGGGGTGAAGTTTTTACCGGTTTCCTTTGGAAACCGAGTTATTCAGATCACTACAATATATGATCTGCCTGATGCCATAAATGGTAATCAAGAAAGCAAGCATATTTGCATAAAACTATATACTAGTGATTGGTTGACATGAGAAGTTGCACACCACTCATATCAGCCAGTAGTGCTTGTTAGCCAGTCAGTCAGACTGAGGTGATCTAATCACCGGATATCCGTTTCACTCGTTTAATGCCAAGCTCATCAGAAATGAGGTGGTTTGAAGTGACTGATTTCTACTACCATACAATCACTGAAGCATGTCATTATCAGCTTCGAAACCATTGTAACTTCAGACAGTTTGAAGGGAATAAAAAGAACCTGTGAAACAGAATGATGATGTAATTTTCCACTGAAAATTTGGTCTTTCTTCCTCTATATCCAAGTGAATAAGTGTAACCTATTTCCTAAGTTTTTTTACAAATATCTTATCTGATTTTGATGTTGTGAAAGCTTTTTGAGCACTGATCAGTTATCTTCTTCACTATCCTCTTTGTTTATATGTGTAAAGGTGAAGGATTTTCTCAATAGATAACGAGTACTTATAGACTACGCTTCACTCTGAAAGAAATGGCGACGCCAAGTAAAATTCTGAGTCGCATCATCCTGGAGAGAATTAAAGACACACTGGATACAGAACTCTGACCAGAACAAGCTGGATTCAGAAAGGCAAACCGTGTACTGACCAAATTGCGACTCTACGCATAATCATCACAGAACAAAGCATGGAATGGCAATCAAACCTCCACCTCAACTTTATAGATGAGAAGCCTTCGACAGCATTGACCGCGAAGCAATTGGAAACTACTCGAGTACTACGGCGTACAGTGCCCCAAATATTCATCAACCTTATTCAACAGCTAGCTGTACGACAACGGGACATGTCAAGTGATCCACAACGGAAAACTCAGTAAGGCGTTTGGAGTAAACACAGGAGTCAGACAAGGTGCTTATTATCTATCACCAATGAATTCCTAATTGTGGTGGACTGAGTGGATTATGCATCAGACAGTCGGAAACGAAAACGGGACAGAGATCTATCCTGGACCAACGTGGACAACCTAGAAGACCTGGATTCGCACGATGATTTATGTTTGATGTCACACAAAATTGAAGACTTACAAATGAAAACGACAAACTGTTGGAGAAGCAGCAAGGTGAACATAGACAACACGGTTATGAAAATAACCACCACCACCACCAACAATAACAACAACAGCAGCAGACACCCAGAGCCAATCACCATCACAACGGGAGGGATTTGAAAGAGGTTACTCATTCACTCACTTATCTGGGGACCATTGTCTCAACTACAGGCAGTCGGAACGGACGAGGATGTCAAATCGAGCGAGAATCGGGAAGACGAGAAACATATTCAACAATTTGAAACCAATGTGGAAATCTTCGTCACTCAACCAGCACCAACAGCGAAATTCAGTCGGATTTTCAATACAAACAACGTCAAGTCAGTCATTCTTCTATTCGGATCGATCAGAAACTTGGCGGCGGGTCACAAAGAGTTTCCAACAGCCTGTTGCAGACCTTCATCAACCAACAACTGTCTTCGCTGGCTCTATACTCAATATCAATGGCCGGGCTGGAAAGAATCACCATCAAGAAACTGTGGGAAGAAACAAACAACTCAAGAACCAATCGTCACCAACAAATATGCAGGCAGAAGCAAGTGGAGATGATTGACACTCGCTCGCTGAGGAGGCCGCTGGGTGACATCGCACGCGCGTCAGGCCATTGCTCGAGTGGAACCGGCCGAAAGGGAAGCATGCGTGAGTGGGACGTCAGTGCATAGGTAGATGGAGGAGATCGTGTGAAGAGGAGTTGATACAGTATGGACGAACATGGATGCAGGTGAGAAGTACAGCAGAAGGAAGACAGAAGCAAGTAGGACGTGCAGTTGAGCCCCATGTTCCACTAGGAACCCGATGAATAGTAAGTAATAATAAGTTATATGGTACTCAGGTAGTGATAAGAATGCTCTCCTATATGTTATATCTGTTAAATTTCCCCAAAATTTCATTGGAATCTAGAATGTGTTGGTGGCACAGCGGTTAGGATGCTCGCCGACCATGCCTATGGTCCTCGATTCGATCCCCGTCCGATGCACACCTGATATCAGTGGTTGACCTGTTTAATTTGGGCCACTGATATCAAATGCTGAGAATTCCATACTTGTATCAAACATACTGTGTGGAGTCAAGCTATTATAAAATAAAAAATAAAAAAAATAGAACAAGTTTCCATAGGATTTGATATCAAAAACGCAGAATAAGTGGAGCATTTACATTTGTAATCTGTCAAGCGAAATAAATGATTAAGTACTACTTAAATTAAATCGAAACAGTTTTGGAACTAGAGATGAACATTAGGAGTACTACTCGTGAGGTTACCTCCAATAGAGTAATGTTATGAATCAGTTGCGTTAGTCACTCATGTATTCCACTCTAATATTCACATATTTTGATTATTCTGCGATGAACTACTCATTCCGTTTTCTCTATCTTTTCTTTATTGAGTGCTGATTTCGTACGAATGACTGAATAAACATACTTCAGTCTTAGAGTGGATCATTAATTACTAAAGTTCAGTAGAGTTATGTAGTGGTGTGATCACAGGTAATTTGACACGTTTTACCATAGTATTCAACTCATGATACATTACAAACAAATACATGTCAACCTACTGTTTTAATGGCAGAAGAAAAGAGAACTGGTGACGGATTTCTTTTAATTAAGGAAAAACCTGTCGTATCCATGCGCCTTAACCTCGTTAAAAGTCGGCTAGGTCAGTGGACAATACGCTGTTCTCATTGGTTGGCTGTCGGCCCAAGGTTAAACAGTGAGATGGAAAATTGTCCAGTGAGACTATTTTCGGACCACGACGTAAACTTGATGCAGATGTGAAGAATAAGCAATTTCACGTCTTCATCCAACCATCGACTTAAAGTGTTGATTTCAGTCTGCATCTATATAGCCCACACCACACTAGTTTACAAATTTACTTTGATTTAATAGTCTGGCGTCGAATGTTGGAACTCAGGATCTGCATGCTGCTTTCCTTTATTACATTAATCAGTTGGATGTTTCTGCATACTTGCGTTCCTACAGAGACTCATATCAAGCAAATATTATTCAAAAGACCACTACAGCCACCCCTAGAAAGGTGGGTACGGCTTAATTCCCCTGTTATTCACCTTCAAACAGGTAATTTCAGGTTAGGGATCAGGTCACTATCAAAGCCAAAAAATGATGAATACAACTAATTCAGTGGGGAAATATCAGCAGGACATCACAAGCGTAGGCAAACTGTATTCACATGATTCCATTTTGAGCTCACAGTCATAAATCATTTGAATTTGTATTCGTAACAATGAAAACTAAACTTGGCCTTGTAACAGTAACAACTGAAAAGTAGTCTGGAGGAAATAAAGTTCACTCTAGTTGTATTTCATGGTATGGAAATCGGTTGATTTATTTATCTTTTTTATTGTATTTACGAAATTTTTGTGTGTTAATTTCAGGCGAATTTGAACCAGATGCAAACAGGTGATTACTATGATGTGTATTGGGACTTGCATTAATTTTAGCTTAGTTTTATTTGTATGCATCCATTAGAACAAATAATCCCTAGATGTCAATAAGGCCTGACAGATTTTAGAAACTATAATGGGGTTGTTTTAATTTCAAAAATACCGCTCTATCTCCCACACAAGTTTGTTTTCAAAATGTCTGAGAGTTTTGTATGAAGCATAGTGGAAATTTTATTCACACACACACACACACACACACTTTAGAGACATATTTCTCGTCATCATGTTTGATGAGTTAGTCAAAAGAAATCTACATTGTTATTTTGATTTCTAGTCAAACTGACACTAGGCCAGAAATGCATCCAGCTATGACTGTTTTACTTATTGAATCACAAAGTTAGTCTCCTCATTAATACGTAAAAGTGGAGATTCTGACCACCTCATAGAGGTCGTTATTATTGTGTAATACTGTGGTCGATTATAACATAGTTACTCAGAAATGATGTTCTTAATTACGGTGGAATGGATTATGCGGAGGACTGTACTTGGGAGCGAGAAGACAGGAATGCATCGGGGCGAAGACACGAATCGAGATGAACATAGAAGAGGCGGAGGTGATGAAGATAACCAACCAAACAACAGTAACAAGCAACAATCACTGTCAGCAGGAGAAACTCAAAAGAAGTCGTCCCCTTCACGTATCTCACTAGTCAACATCGTTTCAACTACAAGCGACATCATGGGTGAGGATTTCAAAACCAGTCGGGATCGCAAAGTCCAGACAAGCCTTCATCATTTTACAATAAGTTCGGAAGTCTTGTGCACTCCAACGAAGCATAAACAGCGAATTTCGGATTTCCAATATTAATGTTAAGTCAGTCGATTCTTCTGCATGTTTCAGAAACTTGACGCATCACGGAAGGCGTTACGAACAGATGAGTCCTGACTTTTAGCAACATTTGCCCTCTCCGGCTCCATATCGAGGATCAGATAACATGCCAGAGAGAATCAGCAACAAGAAACTCTGGTGAGCAATCCGTCGAGAAATTATTTCTCGACAAGTATTCTGAAGAAAATGTAGATGGTCGGGCACACACTAATGAGACCATTGGAAATCATAGCACTTTTCAGGACCTCGACTGGAATTCGAAAGGGAAAGGGCGAGTTGAGCATGCGAAGGAGAATGACATGTAGGAGGTCATGCGAGGAGGAAATGAGAGCTTATGAGCAGTTGCGGGGCCAACCGAAGGGGACTTCAGAGAACGGGATAAAATAGGGATATGCAGTTGAAGATGTATGTGCCACTCAGAACTCAAGGAAGTAATAATAAAAATAATAACTGTTACTCAGAACGAAGTTTTCGTGTATCCACTTACGGTTTACACGGGTTACTGATTTTATTAACGATAATGATGCCACGAAAGCGTTAAGGATAAAGTAAGTCGGGCAGCATGCGAACCCGAGGCTCACTGGCTAAAAGTCAAGTCTCAATTACAGTGAGCCACATCCACGCTAAGATATTTCGTCATTTACTCCGACTGTGTAAATGTCGAAAATAATTATGTAACCAGAATTAAAAGGGAATTCAAAATACACTTGATGAGTTTTGATCATTCAGATAAAATCTACACTTTTACTTGTTTTGACAAAAAACATTGGTTATAACTTTGATCAAGATTTAACATCAGTCAGAAAACCACTGAAAACCTGGAAGTGCTGAAGAGCTAGCAATCTCGTCCTAGTTTGAGACTGTTGGTCAGCACGTGCCCACTGAATTTCGGACCCAGGACCTTCATGATAAAAGGCGAGGTCATAGACCATTCAGCCACAAGGACCTCATCCAATGGCCCGTGAATTCCAGCTTCTGCTGATTTGCGGTAGATATAGTTTGACAACCATCCAATGTTATAGGGGAGTAACTGATCTCTTACCTGACCCGATGGACACCTCGATGGTTTTCTGAAAACAAATTCACAGAGTAAATTCCGAAAGTAACATCGGCAAGAGAGAGAGATAATATGCACCAATATAACACTAAACTTACTGAATATCAAATAAATTGAGTAAACCAACACAGTATTTGTGAATTTACAGGCTTAACGGCAAATCACTGCCGTCGTTTCTTTAGGAACCTACTTTTCGTGCTTTGAAACACCTACCAGTGCTGCTAAATAATGGTGTCCTTAAGCCTGTCAATAGTTCTATATTAGATCATTTGTCCCAGGCAGGTCAACAAGTTAGCATCGAAGGACCTTTCTCTATCATCCGTCGGGTACCCTATAGCTTACCAATGACCTCTAGATAATGAACAGTCCAATGCTGTTGCTATTCACTTAAATCGACTGGAGCTCTGTGTGCAAATGAAACAGGTCGAGCCAGCCCTGTAGCGCTACTTTGGCCTGCTGTGGGACGTATAAATCCATAAATTCTGTCTTGATTCTCTCAATTCATCTGATATTCAATTAAGTGTTGCATTAGTGCATATTATCTCTCTCCCTCTTATTGATGCTGCTTTCGAAATGTAATCTATCGACGCTATTGATCCAATGTAATTTGAGATAGCATTCATCATTACTATTCCCTTGGGTTCCGAATGAAACATAGAGCTTCAACAACACATATCTACTTTGTTCTATTTGGTGCTGTCCTCTTCAACTTGCTCCACGATTGCCCATAGTTTCTCATCTACTCCTGACACAACTGCCTCCATGTCATCCTCACACCAACGACTCAGGTTTCTTATTGGGATTCCAGTCAAGCAGTGGTCTGCATTGCGCGCGATGTCATTTAACGGTCTTCTCAATATATGCCCGATCCACGCATCTTCCCTTCCCTGCGTCGGTGGCACAGTGGTTAGAACTCTCGCCGACCATGCATATTGTCTGGGGTTCGATCCCCTGCCGACGCACACCTAATATCAATGGTCGGCCGGCAAAATTTGGGCTACCGATATCCATACTGAAAATTCCATACTTGTACCAAAAATACGGTGTGGAATCAAGCTGTAATAAAAAATAAAAAATATATATTTGTAAAGCAATAGGCTCTTGGTTGGTTTGTTCCGAGCCAGAGATTTTTGTTGCTAATTCTTTCTGGCCGGTAGGCTGGCCATTTGAACTTCACTGTGGAGCCAGTGAAGGTTCAGTCACTTGCGTGACAAGCTGGCCAGTTTTCTGACCCATATAGAAGTACTGCCTGACTGAATTCACATTTGTGTTGAAAATCTGAGTCTTCTTCTTCCTGCTTTCTGAGTGCAGAAGATTTCCAAATTGGTTTCAGGTTGATTAAGGCGTATCTTGCCTTTCCGATCCTGTCTGACTTTGACATCTTCATTCGTTCCGACTGCCTGTGGTTGGGATCATGCTTCCTAGATAAGTAAAGAAGGCAACCTCTGCCAAATCTCTCCCGTTGATGGTGATTTGTGCTGGTTGTTATTGTTGTTGGTTGGTTGGTCGGTTGGTTGGTTGGTCGGTTGGTTGGTTGGTTGGTCGGTTGGTTGGTTGGTTGGTTATCTTCATCACCTCCGTCTTCTTTATGTTCATCTGGAATCCTGTTAACAAGAATATTTGTTTACTTTATCGAAAAGAATATTCTTTGTTCATTAAGAAATCCTTTAAATGTTTAATGGGCATCCTCAATTAATTATAAGCATTCCACAGAACGACAGAATAATGCGCCGTGATATGGTTCAAGCCAATCCGTCAGACAGTCCTAGACTTAAGTCTCCTGCTTGTTGACACTTGTCAACAAGATGTACGAGCAACCTTAAAAGCAATGATATCGCTTATGAAGTTAAGCCATGTGTTCGATACACTAAAATGCCTGTATTCATCTTGAGCAGAGATGATGTAATAAATGAGAGACATTAACTGTGATGGAAGGTTTTTATCTTGATGAATATAATAGATGTCTTCGGTTGAATAAACATGTATTGCTGCGGCTTGCATTACTCAACTTATTGATCAAAAAGGTTTCTTTTCTGCTTTTTTTCATCGTACACTTCGTAAAACTGTATTACAAATAAGCAGTTATCTTGGTACATCTAAATAGCTAGTTTTATGTTACTATTTATTACGCATTCATTGATTTTCCTGGTGGAAATACAAAAGAGTTTGAATTGGTCCCCATGACTTAACAATCAAATGTGCAGCAGGGTAATCACTGATGTCTACGAAGAACTTTGAAAAATCGCCTTAGTAGTGGGTGTGTAGTTTTATTTTCAAAATCCATTCGCCTCAATAATCTTAACAGACACTAGCCAATTATTTTAGCCGCCAGTGGTTAACTAACTAACAATGAGTGCTTATATTAAAACAGCCGGAGAATATATTTACTGTTATGTAATCTAATACTGTTTACTTTTAAAATTTTTGGTTTTGATTACAGTAAATATTTGTTAAAAACAGCTCATATTACTCTTTAAATTTATTATTAGCACAATATTGAGTAAAATATGGTATGTTGAGTTATTTTGACCATTAGGTTTTAAACTGTCTAAAGTCTCCTAAACTTAGGAAATCATCAGACAGTTTGCTTATTTAATTCCATCCAGAACTTATATTTGATAATGATGGGAATTTATATGATTCCATTACATTACTTATGATACAGTGAGTAATTCACAGCATTTGGTACAATACTGCATCTAATCTACTCGACAACACCAAAATCAAGAAATTATATTACGGGGTATATATTATTTATTACTGTTTCCTGTAATTCCCAGAGGAACACAGGGCTTCAGCCACACGTCTTCATTGCGTTCGGTTCTTCACCAACTTTTTCACCTGGTTTCACCTCTGCCCACATGCTTTCATCTCCTCTTCACATGAACTCCAACACGTAACCTTCATACTAACGATAAAGTCACAGCTTTCCATTCGGCTTCCACTTGAGTGATGGTCTGGCCTGTGATGCCACTCATTTGATGGTTTCTTTTCTCAGAGTATGACCATCCCACCTCCATTTCTTCCCACATATTAGTTGCACAATCGTTTCCTGCTCGGTTGGTTCGTTCATTGCCAAGGATCCTTCCCTACTACTTATCTTTTCTGTTTGGCCATCTGATCTTCAGTAGTGTTGAGCGAAGACAGCTTTTGATGGAGGTCTGTAGTTTATTTGAAGTGTCCTTCGTGACGCAGCACAGCGCGGCGCCAAGTCTCTGATCCGTATAGTAAGTAGCACTGACTTCACATCGGAGTTGAAAATCCGGATCTTAGTTTTCATGCTGAAGAGTGCTGTTGATCTCCACACACAGACTTCAGCGTGATGAAATCTTGACTTGGTTTCCCGATCATCGCCTTGATGATATCCTCCTCAGTTCTGTCCGCCTATAGTTGAAACGATGCTTCCCAGGTGGGTAGGTAAAGGAGGTTGTTTCTTTCAGGTTTCTCCCATTTAGGCTGATTGTTGTCTGTTGTTGTTGGCCAGGAATCTTCATCACCTCTGTTTTATCTATGTTCACTTGAAGTCCTATCTCCTCTGGATGCTTCTCCTGCCAACTTGTTGCTTTTCACTTGCATATCTTCCAGTTTGTGGGAAATCAGACATATGTCATCATCGGCGAAGTCCAGACCCTCCAAGTTTGTCTTTGTGTGGGTAACCAAAATGATGATTGCGTCTTTTGAGTATTAGCAGTGACAATAAAATCAGAAATGTACAAAAGGTATAAAATGACAGTGATAATAATAATAATAACTAAAATTATAAGATAACTGAATTAGTGTCACAATAAAGTAAAAATAAGAGAAGATAAAAATTAAGTTTGATTACTGTAAACTGTAGATTGATGCTTGTTGAATAACTCCTAAATAAGCATGTGCCAACTCAACAGTGATATAACACATTTCCACCGAGATTCTAACTAATTATTATTTTGCAGAAAGTTAAACTGGAATAGGGATATGTTGACAGACGTGGTTATCATGAGTATCACTTGTCTTCGCCAACATTGTATACAACAGCTTGCAGCTCTCTCAGACCACAACTTAAGCGAAAGCATATAAAAGATGAGACGGATCAGTATTTACACAATAATGTATAATTCAAAAAAAAAATCAACAGGGAAACGTTAATTTGTCTATAATCATAATCAATAAAAATAGTGGGTGTATTCTTTGTAGGTCAATTCTGATTGGTTTATTTCCAGACTGGACATCGACCAACATATCACAATTACAATGGAGTTTATTGATTTTCACTGTTACTAATTCATTCGTGATGGTCTATAACGCAGAGAAAAATTTTCACTTCCTCGTTTCTTAATCTTCATAAAGCAGACATCATAAAGAGATTGTTGAAAATAGATTTGTGTTGTATTTATTTGAAAAATAATGTTGAGAAACTTAAAAGCATAAGAATAGAACTTGTGTACTGTGGTGGAGTATACTTCCATTGTGGATAAAATTTATTTTGATAAAGTCTCACAGTGTTAAACATTAAACTTTACTGATGACCACGTTTCGAGCACAATTTATTGCTGCTCATCGTCGTCATATCAAGGCACTACTCACACAACTTTCCAACTTCGTTTATATAATTCCATCATTATTTTTCATCGCTTGACTTGAATGGTAGTAGTATTTTCCATATTTCTGGTATGTGTGATGAGTCATTCCTATCGCACGTGTTGGATTTCGTGTGAAGAGGCGAATGTCAGAAAAGGAATTATAAACTTTTTAAATCAGTAGCTAAACTGAAGATTATAACAAAAATTATTATTATATATATTATTTGTTTGCAATGAGGAAACAGGCATAAAATGGACTCACACAAAAACCTTGGGGGATCTGGACTTCGCCGATGATATATGTCTGATCTCCCACAAACTGAAAGATATGCGAGTGAAAAGCAACAAGTTGGCAGGAGAAGCATCCAGAGGAGATAGGACTTCAGGTGAACATAGGAAAAACAAAGGTGGCGATGAAGATTCCTGGCTAACGAAAACATCAGTTAACAGACAAAAATCAGCATAAATGAGAGGAATCTGAAAGAAGCAACTTCATTTACCTAACTACTGACCTGGGAAGTATCGTTTCAACTATAGGCGGACAGAACTGAGGAGGATATCATCAAGGCGATGATCGGGAAACCAAGTCAAGATTTCATCACGCTGAAGTCTGTGTGTGGAGATCAACAGCACTCTTCAGCATGAAAAATAAGATCCGGATTTTCAACTCCGATGTGAAGTCAGTGCTACTTACTATACGGATCAGAGACTTGGCGCCGCGCTGTGCTGCGTCACGAAGGACACTTCAAATAAACTACAGACCTCCATCAAAAGCTGTCTTCGCTCAACACTACTGAAGATCAGATGGCCAACCGGAATGATCATCAGTAGAAAAGGATCTCTGGGAGCGGACCAAACCAGCAGGAAGCGACTGTGCAACAAATATGCAGGAAGAAATGGAGGTGGGATGGCCATACTCTGAGTAAACAAACCATCAAATGAGTGACACAACACGCCAGACTCTCTCTCTCTCTCTCAAGCGGAACCCAAATAGGTAGTGGCGAGTTTGTCATCAGAATGAGGATGACATGGAGGAGGTCGTGTGAAGAGTAGACGAAAGCATGTGGGCAGGCGTGTGGCCAGATGAAAACGCTGGTGGAGAGCCGAACGCAATGGAGACGTGTGGCTGAAGCCGTATGTTCCTCTAGGAATTAAAGGAAACAATAGTAATAATATTTATTTATTGTTTATTATTTTCCATTAACTTCAGTTTTGTGGTTTTGTTATTTTTACTACGTTATGTATTTATATATTTATAAAAGGAGATAAATTTTTGCAATGTGTACAATGCTGGAAATTCCATTCCGTATATTATTATTTGAAATAAAGTGATTATATTATTATTATTGGATTTGACAAGAGCCGGAGAAATAAAATTACATCTCATTATTCTACTCAGTATGTTGTCTTTAACAGCTTTCTGCGTTCATCAAACCAAAAAGTTACATAAAACTCGTCAAATCACTTTCTACTGTTTTCATGTAACTTTCATCAAGCATTTTTTCGTTAAGATTTTGTTCGGTTCACTTTGAATTTGGTTACAAACAAAACAAACAAACACCATTTTGAGTACTATTGGAAATTAGACAGTACTGGATAAAGTTGTTTCTTCATTCGTCCACTTGTTTTATATCTATTGGTTTGTAAATTATTTCAGCAACAATAGAGGTTTTGATTGTATGGAGGATTTCATCATGCGCTGACATCAGTTAGAGAACCACTGGAAAACCTGGAAGTACTGTACAGTGTTTCATCCTGGTTTGGGACTCTTCAGCGGTACGCACACACCACAGGGGTTCGAACCCAGGACCTTTTGGTTACAAGGCGAGCTCTAGGCCATTGAGCCACTGGGACTCGATCCAATGGTCCTTGAATTCTAACTTCTGCCAATGCACGACACAGCGCGACCATTTCGCAATGTCTTCTTCGATGAGTTACTGCCTCATCTTCGACCTGCTGTAACCTACTGGTCACGGCTTCCCAATAGAACCCATTTCATGTTTTCATATAAAGAGCAGACTAAAGTAATGGAGTTTAGTCACCAGTTATCTCTTTAAGGCGTTATATATATATATATATATATATATATATATATATATTCAGAATTCTGTTGACTACCATGTTTCATAATATAGAAGCAGTTGAATGTGAATGAAAAGTTCCTATCATTTCACATGTCAATTTAACATCCTTATTTTATGCATTTATATGCATCATCAAATTGTTGTGTCAAAATAATGTATTCACTTGAAAGGTATTCAGTGTTTGTTTGCACTTCTTTTTTTGCAGGCAGTTAACCAATCACTGTTTCCTAACATTTAATAACTTGGCTAAACTTTTACAAACCGATCATGCACTGAAATAGCTGTACAATTTATAAAAGTGATTTATTTGAACTAAAATTTATATTTTCTTTACGTTTTTTTTTGCTGTATTCATTGTTGAAATGATCTCATAAAGACTGACAGCGAAATAGGAATGTTAATTTTATTTTGGGGATAATTATACCTCTAATTATATTAACTTTTGAGGTTTTTAAAACATATCAGATGGTTATGAGAGGGTGTAACAATAGATATCAGTAGTATAGCCCTATCCTATTTCGTACACTGTAGATGTTAGATTAATTCACAGCAGACGGACGAATTCGTCTTTTTATAGGCACGCGAAGTGCTGATAATTACTGTCGATAAGCTTGGTTCGTATATTTGTCACTCTGGCCTACCTCAGGATGAACGCGTCATTTCTGATCGGTGTTTGTACATATTTTTTAAGTGAACTTCCCACTGCTGTTCAGTCTACTCACTTTCTTCAGAAATAAACTGTTTGTGAAAAATGGTGGCTATTTCTAAAGCTCTCCTTATTGTGAATTTAGCCATATAGCATGTGCTACTGACATGATTTCTAAGTAGTATGTAGATGCTGAATCTTAGAAAGCGGCTTAAAGGGAAATCAACATTTTAAGTCTGGCTGCAGAGGCTGAAGTGTTTATTCTTTAAATCTGTATTGTTTACAATTTGGACATGAAATAACCTCTCTGGACGACTTTTCGTCTCATTTTTTGACCTTGGGCTAATCGCCACCCAGTCCATTGACTTATCCGAATTTTAGTGTGGCTGAAAATATGTTAATATGATTTGTTTTTCCTTAATAAGGGTCAGTTACCGATTTTCTTATCTTCTTCCGCCGGTTTGAAAAATTGCGGCTTATAACTTTTAGGTACACTGACAACCATATAAGTCAGTTTTTATGGACAGAAATGTTATTTATACTTTCCCATAGGCACCATTGATAGTGTAGTGTAGTAGTGTGTAGTGTACATACGTGACACCAAAATAAAACTAGAACTGAAATAATTAGATCGAAATGAATCATCAGAACAAACTTCTAGTTCGTCTCAGCATGCTCGAAGTGTTTAGTTTTTGTAAGCACTCATCTGAGCGGGCTACGGTACCATTTTGTGCTGGCTAAGACGCACATTCTCATGGTTCATAGCTCAGTCGTATTAGCCAAATAAACTTAATAAAAGTTTTATTCGGAAGCCATCCCCCAACTTTATTCTTTTTAAATATATTTATCGTTCCAGCATACTCCTAAGTAATTCAGTCTCTTCAATATTACGAAAAATCGAATTTGGTTAGGGCGATTAAGTTTTCCATACTTGGGGAAGCGAACATTTTATGAAAAAACCATTGGCGACGGCAGTACTGTCATCAAATTTGTATACTTGTTTGCAAGAGGCTCAAATCAGAATCGATATTCTAAACCATTTGCTGAAAATGTAGGGTATTTCATACTTCAACTTCGGATCTAAGTTGTTGTATGCATATGATAATTTCACTGAAGAATCACTGACCTTCTAAAATATCCTTGATCCTACATAACTAATCAGGTTAATTTGTTTAACCACTAACCTCCCGTTTCACATGTATCGGAAGTGTATGTAGATGATATGTTTTTGTCAAATAAAGTTGTTATCACAGTGACAGTCCAGACTTTGTCTTCTGATATCTTCTTGGCTCAGTGAGTCAGAAGGTGTGTTGTATCCCTTCCACTGCACCAGAATAACCCTAAAGCTAAGGTGAATAGATCAAATTAGATCAGATTACTCCTGACCAATTAAACGTCTCCCCTCTGTTGATGCTTCGTGCGTTTTAAGTTCTATTTTAACGAAAACTCATCTGATCGGCCTCGGGCATCATTTTACACTTCCTTTTTATACCGGTAATACGCATATCCTTAGCTCAGCTATACTAACTGGATAGGTTCTAAGATCTTTACCCCAGATAATCTCGGTATTTCATACTGTTTAGGTACAGCGCTCATCTAAGCGAATTTCAGAATAACTTAGTCTTTTTTATTCATCTTTTCTCATCAGGGTTTACGGACCAGGTACAGTAGTGGCCAAGTAGTTATTAGGTATATTACGTATAGCAATACTAGTATAGTGTAACATATCAATCGCGCAACCGGAATCTTACGAAAGCATTTGAGGGAGAACAGTTACCTGTTGCGTTTCACTGTCGTCATACCCATTTATTAGTCTACTCCAATATCACGGTGCCTTAAACGAAATATGAAGAATCCCATTCATTTAGAAGTTGGTGACTTGAAGAAATTTTAACTAGCGCTTACATTCACCCTACAATTAGACAATCTGTGGTTAGGGCATTGGGTTGCCCATATTTTTGGCTTTCATGTGATCTAATCCTAATTAGATATTTACTACTGATATATTACAGATGAAAGAAGGGAGAACTGTTAATGAATAAGGCTAGACTGCGAAGTACACTGGCCCTTGTAATTTGCTCACCCCAGTGTCTTACAATTTTGTCATTTTTGCGAATAAGCTAATATATACGTATGAATAAATATATATTTAGAATTTTTATGTTTCATTGAGAACTAAGGTGATTTCCTGGGGTGATCATTATTATGTAGACTTAATACAGGTGCGTGTGATGAGCACCTAACTAACAGTATCGTCACATGCAAAAAGGTGCTTTTATCTGTCAAGGCTATTTCTTGTTCGGTTAGCTAAGCTCGCCAATATTTGGGTTATATACCTCTCAAACTTATAATAATAAGATGATAATGGTACTTATTGCCATATAAACCATGCCGTTCCCACAGGCGCGATTAAACATGAAATAAGCTCAGATCGTAATATGTCGATTGATCATTACTGTTTTGATAGTTTAAGTAGTTGATTTATGACATAGGCAATCAGAATGTCACGAATTAAATGCTTGTTGTTCCATCTTTAAGCACACTCTTCAAGCCTGCTACCCCAGCCAGTTAACAGACAAGTTGTACAACATTCTTATTTATTAAATTTGACATTAAATTTGTGGTAAACATCTAATTCTCTTCAGGGCACACTACTGAGTCATAAGCCTTCTTACTTAGAGTTCGTTAATCAGCACTTGCACGTTAAGTAAATTACTGATTGAAAAAATTGAAATTCGAAATTTTAAAATGAGCCCAGATACGAACTTATTTGCATTTACCTTGACACATTTAGCCATGAAATCAGGTTTGTTTCTTAGACGACCAATGTAAGTGAGAAATAGACTGTTTACTTACAACATGCACAATATTTGTGTAGCCATTTTGGAAACTCATTTCTTGACTGGATTTATTTTTTGCGTTCTCATTGAGGATTCAAGATCGGTAAACTAACAGTCCTCACTTCGTTTGGGCTCTTTCAGATTTCTCGTGGCTTCATTGAGTCCTTTGAGCTGCGGAAATGCGGTGTCTTAGATGGAATGAATTTGTTTGATATGAGTGAACTACTCTCATTGGTGATGTGGCATTCCACTGACGTAAGAAAAAGTTATTGAACTTCTCTATTACCTGGTCACATTATTTCCTGCTAAAATACTGCGAAATCACAAAGCATATTGGCCTAGGCTAGACACAGGCCGCTAGAAGAAACTTTTCCCTTATTTCTAGGTAAGAACTATTAGAACTCACGTTTCCCCTACTCGCCTGAACAATGGATGAATGTTTGATAATCACTTCACTAAGGATGAAGTTTTGTCACTTTTCTCATCGAAATAATTACAGGGATCGCCAACCGATGGCGCATACAGGATGAGAAGACCGCAATCGGTGTTTAACGTGTCCTTTGCATGCAGACCTGCAAGTAAAGTGGAAAGCGTTGTGAAACACATAGAGGGGAATTATTCAACGGGGACAAAGAACTTTAAAACTCTTAAAGGGGGTATTTTACCAATTAGTTATTTCTCTCGTCTGCCTGTTCCCGTGATTATTGACCACTTACTTAGTGGTCATAGCGTTTACAATGCATCCTGAGTGTTGAAAAGACCCTAAGAATTACCTTAAGCTTAATATTCTGTGATTATTATTATTACACCCTTGGGTTTCGGTTAGAACATAGGGCTTCAGCAACACACTTGTGCTTTCTTCTATTTTCTGCCGTCCTCCTCAGCTAGGTCAATTATTGACCATAAGCTGTCATCTCCGCCTCACACTGTCTCCTCCATGTCACTCTAGGACGAGGCACCCGTCGTTTCCTATTTGGATTCCATTCAAAAGCCTGACAAGCGCGATGTTTTCCAACGGTCTGCGTAGTATGTGTACAAACATCTCGACTTTCTTCGGAATACTTGTCGACAATTAAGTTCCTGATGGGTACTTCGTCAGAGTTCCTTGTTGATAATTCTTTCTGGCCAGTCATCCGATCTTCAGTATGGTTCCAGAGAATCCAGATTTTGATAAAGTCAGTAACCACCGGTTCGAAATGCTCTCCCTGATGAGCCAATTTTCTGAAACATATCGAAGAACCAAACTAACAATAATGTGGAACATCCGAAGTTTCCAGTTTATGCTTCGGAGGAGTGCGCAAAATTTCCACAGTGAATGTGGAGTGATGAATATCTGATTGACCTTTGAGGTCCCGACTGTTTTTGACGTCCCCACGCATGGTGTCGCTGGTGGTGGAAACGATGCTGTCTGGTTGGATAAGTAAAGGGAGTGACCTCTTCCAAATTTTCCTCGTTGATAGTGACTGGTGCTTTTTACTGTTTGGTTATCTTGACCACCTCCACCTTCTCTACATTCACCTGGAGTCCTGTCTTCGGTGACTGCCTCTTCTATCAGATTGTCGGTCTTTGTCTGTAAGTCCTCGAGTTTGTGTGATATTGGACACACATCATTGATGTCCAAAATTCAGATCTTCTAGAGTTTTATAATCGGTTCGACTTATTCCTGTCTTTCCACTCCCCATTCACAGTCTTTTGAATAATCCAGTCCGCCAAAATTAAGAATATCACCGGTAATAATAGACAAACAGCCTTTTCTTATTACCGTATCCATTTCGAACGCTTGACTGAGTTTTCC